AAGTCAATACGAGTTGCTTTTCTAATGCACTAGCGAACTAAACAAGCTTACACATTATCACTTCCACGTCCCAGAAGTTCGGTATGACTTGCTCGAACTAGTGATTTAACATGCCTTTCCTTGCGGAATTTGTTGAGTGCCTGGTAATATTAACAAATGATTTTATTTTAGATGGTGAAGTGAACTGATTCTACTTTACAATCCTATTTTACTACTGTATTTCCAAAACTTTCTTGTTTTGACAAATTTATAAAAAGTGTAAACACACTTGGTTAATAAAAGACACAAAACTACCAATTGACTTCCCATTAGATTACTTAGAACAGATACATAGAGTCCTCGTAGAACTACTGGGATTGTGCACATACCTACAAACTTTACATATTTACATCGTTATTTACATACTCGTATTGTACTTGTACGTTACGCAAAAGAAATGCTAAAAATGTGCAATGCTACTTTAGAAACCACTCGTTCCTTGAATGAAGTGCCAGAGATTTGAAATGCAAACAAGAAAATAACAACATTGGGCACTAAATTCAAGTGATGCCATTGTTCTTTACTCCCTTAGAACACTCAATCGCACATATTCGGAAATATAGTTGAACTAGAATAAGTGCATTGGTACCTTAGAAACTAGTGATGAGGAATAGAAAAAGTACTTTTTGGCTACTATTTGAATTAAAACAGAATTATAACCTAAACTCAGCAATATTTCATTTCTAGACATGCGAAGTTTTGTTAAAAACTGTTAAAGAATGAACATTTGTTCCCTTGTTTCTTGACGGTACAAGTACTTTGTCTCTAAAAGTACAATTTTTGAATTTTTATTGTTAACATTTTGCATATCTTTCATATATTATTTACTACATACAATCAAATCTTTCCAACATCAACCAGCATAAATACAACCACCCAACCAACCATTTACCCACTGAAGCAAATGCATTTACAATGAGTAATAAACAGAGCTTGTTGAATGAAAGCTGTGTATGAATGTTAGTGTCAGTATTCCAGTAGATGAAAACGTCTGCAACAGCAGCACTAAAAATAGCAACAAAAGAAACTGTAACAGCAGTAGCAGCACGAACAAGAATACCATCCAGTCAAGTAAATCAAAAAACAATGAGTGAATAAAATCAACATGAAAAAATCTCACATAAACTCACGTACAAACACTCCCATACACCTACATTACAGGACATTTAAATGAAAATCCCAGCATCCGTTTTTAACAAAAGAAAATTTGAAGAAAATGCTACACAGTCATGATGATTATATTGCATTATATGTGTATGTGTGAGTGTGTGTTTAAGTAAATTCCATAAATGGAATTGAATGTAATCAGAGTAAATTAAAATTGTTGTTTTTCTTATATACAAATTCCATTTCGATTATGAATATGAAATTGTATCAATATATGCGGGTGCGTATACGTTAAAATAATAGATGTATGAAGATAAATAACAATCATACGTAATGTTTTGCAATAAAAGAAATGTTAAAGTTTATCAAAAAAGTAATTGGCAAGTTTTCTTCGCCGAATCTTAATACCCTTCACCATAGTGTATTAGAAAAAATATTTTAATAATTATTTTTTTAAATTTCAACACTACAGTAGAGTCGGGATAAAGATAAAGAGAAAGATAAAGATTTTATGATATAGTGCCTCCAAAGATGGCTTATATTAACTATTACCTAGACATTTGGTATAATATATCTTCTTCTATATATATATAAAAGAGTAGCGTTACTGACTGACTGATTCATCATCGCACAGCTCAACCGGCTGAACCTAGAATCATGAAATTTTGACAGTAGATGTGTTTTTGGTTATATAGATCCACTAAGGAGGAGGATTTTTGGAAATGTGTACATTTAGGGGTAAAAAAGGGAAAAAACGGGTAAAACAGGTTTTCTTAATTATCTTACCTAATATTAGTGATACAAAAAAATTTTAAATGCACCTGTATCTACTCTTAAAATAAGCAGATGGGTGTCTGGTACTATTTTGAAATTCGTACTTAACAAAGGTGATTTTTGTACCTTTTTAGGCCCTTTATAACCTTTTAACTAATAAACAAAATAACACTTTTCAGTGACTACTACATATTGTCTGGATTACATAGAAGTAGTCTAATAAGGTCTTACTAATAATGTGTTATATAAATACTTTCTAATTCACTAGTCATCTTTCAATGAAGATATAGAATCTGTATACGTTTTATCAAGCCATTTACAATGATTGCTTTTTCTAATTACTTGTAATCGTTTGTGGTAAGTACTTGCCTCCAATAAAACGCTTTTGTGTAAGTAAATATTAGCATTTTAACTTTCATTACCATGTAAAGTTTTTACTGGGAAGCTATTGGTATATTATTTTGGAATTCAAGTACTAAGGCCTATATAGGACCAAATTCGAGTAAATTGTTTGGTACTTTTTGAAAACACATTTTTTCTGGAACAAATGAATGCAGATTTGAATCGTTTGAGTTTTATCTGTGATATATAGATTTAAATACGGAACATTTTGTAAACTTAATTCTCAAAAAAGTATATTTCTAAGCGATAAGGGGAAAAATTGTACTATTTTTATTAGTACTTTCCACTAAGGTAGAATTTATTCCACTTTTGGTACTTTTTCTTTCTTTAAATGATACTCTTTGTATGTTCTATAATATGAATTCTAAACACATGATTATTTAACATACACGGGCCTCATTGAATAAGATTCTTTAAGAGAGAACCTTTAGTACTTTTTATCACATAAATGGTACTTTTTGAATTTTCTAAAATATTCAACATAAATATTAACATACAGGGTCTTCACTGAAGTGGGAACTCTTTGGTACTTTTCCATTCTTCAAATGGTACTTTTTGGATTCTCTATAATAGTTAACCGGAACACATGACACACGGTCCTTATTAAATGAGAATTTTTGATTAAATGAGAAGTATTTTATAGTACTTTTTTTTCAAATAGTGCTTTCGAAATTTTCTATAATGTGGAAGCTAACGTATGAAACTCAAAATACAAGCTTCTTCCTGAATACGAATTTCTTCACATGATATTGAACGTAAAAAACTGAAACATTCAAAAAAATTTTAATCAATTTTAATTTTTCTATAAAAGTAAACAAAATTTTATATGTATTTAATTTTGGTTAGGGTAGTGAAGCACCCAGGGTATGCTAGTAGTCTATAAATTAGTCATTCGACTATTATATAGATTATTCTTAATCTAGAATAGACATGATTTTTTGTCGCACTGATATAAATATATTTTGAAAAAAAAAATATCTGTTTGTTATTTAAATTGCATCAATATATGAGGGTGCGTATACGTTATAAATAATAGATATAAGAAGATAAATAACAATCATACGCAATATTAAGCGTTTTGTAATACAAGGCAAAAAAGTACATATTTGATTATTAATATTTTATATTTTTGACGATATACTTTTATTAACAAGTTACAATATATTTTCCATTTTATAATGTATTTTATCTCAAATAAAATGTATGAATTTTTTACTTAAAGAAAAGTACTAATTAGAAACACAGACTATTCTCCTTAATTTTAAAAAATACAAAAGTTTTTGCTTCTATACTTACCTTTCAATTGCTAGAATGAAAAACAATTTTCCCCAAAATCTTTTCTGAAGTATAACCCACCCTGCAGTGGGATCATTGCATAATTTTGATAAAAATTCTAAATTCTTATAGATTTATTTTTTCCGGATATTTATCTCATTTCCAACATTGCGTGCCACTCTCTACAAATGGGGCATTCTTGTTTTACTCTGGCTTTTCTGTGAAATGATTTACTAATGTGCGTAATGCTTAATTTCGATTGTGATGACATCCGTTAAAGAGTTTCTCCATCTTCTGCCATTCATTCATTCTTCGTAGACCCATTTCGCATATGTGATCAATCTGATTGTATGAGTTGCCACTAGTGATATCCACGGATATTTGTGTTATCCTTATGCGGAAAGAGCGAGCCACCCATGACGAGGTGCAATGTTTGGCACGCTCACCGATGAGCTGGTGTTGAAGTTGTCACTGTCTACCATTGCCTTGAATAATATCTCCTCTTCGAATCTCATTGAGTGTGGTTGTAAGTTGTGTGGGTAATTCATCTTTTCTAGTATCTTTAGCATCTTCTTTTGGGACATAACAAAGTACTATTGAAACATTTCTTACAGAGTAAACCCTAAAAAAGGAAGAAAAATTCAATGGTATCACTTGTATAAGAGCACACTTCTCATTCATTCGACTCAATCATAAAGAACAACATCCGACACACTCACTCTAGGGGTACGGGAGGGGAAGAGCCATACATCCATCCTACATCATATATATTTAACACAAACTCAACGAACTTATCCCGAAATAAAGACCGTCTAGTAGTCATTTAACCAACATTCTCGAATTTAGGTTTAAATTACAGTCATCACGTGCATCCCGAAGAGACAAGACAAAGTCCGAAACTCTGTCCTGTGAGCTAGTTTCGTTAATCCGTTGTTGTTCTAGCTAAGCAGTTGAATGGTCTATTTTTATAATATATAGTTACTCTATAATTCGACCAGACTATATCATCACCTATTTGTGTTTGAGTTTATTTTTGGGGGATTTACACAGTGTTTTTCTTAAGTCATCAATAAATTTATTTACTTTTTATTTTAATACATCTGAAATACATACATATATATACATATGTATGTACATATGTTTATGTACGTAATTAATGATCTGTTGCGTTATCAAATTAGCAATAAGTGTATTAAGAATTTTAAAATTAAACCGTTTGCAAATGAACTTGAGAATTTTTACTTCATTAATACTTTGATTAATTGATTGAACGATGAATTTTTTCGATCAACAAGTACATTGCCATATTTACAGTTTGTTTTATTTACAATTAGGAAATGGTGTATGAATACTGAATTTAGGTTTTAAATACAAAGTTTCGTCACATATGGATCAGTTTTAATCTTGAATTCAAAGTGTTTGGTTAGTTTTAATAATCTACCAATATGTTTACGCATAATTATAAAAAGTTCTCATATTTATTGTGTGTAATAGTGATAATCATAAAATTTCGCAATATTTCGGCTGAACTTGAAGAGGTATTGGTTTTTTTTTAACAATAAATATAGTTTTTTATAAAACAAATTTTTGTTTATATTTTTTTACAGTGTAATAAAATTATTATAGAAGGAGGATCACAAGCGCTTCAAAGAATATTCGCTGATTTCAGTGAAATGAAAATAGCCATTAATAATTTAAAATCAAGGTAAACTTTTGATAATACTAAAAATCGGAAAAAAGTTTTAGTCCACAGATCCACTTTCTATATCGTAATAATATACAATATTCCGAATTATTTAAAAATAAGAACAAATCTGAAATTTTATAAAAATAATTAAGAAACACATTTCTAAATTTCCAGTATTCAGGAATGTCGGGGAGATAATGAAACCAAAACAAGAGGTAAGTCACGAAATATTTTAATTCACAAAATATTAAATATTAAAATTTCCTAAATTTAACTCAAATTGTTGTTTTTTTTTTTTTTTTACTTTATTTCGAGCTACCCCAATTGGATATCTACGTTACGGATAGTTTGCCCCAGAAATGGTATAAGAAAATATTTCTAACAACTCCAACTTTGACTGATGTGGCATTTGGAAAATTGAACAGGGCGGCCTTCGGCAAGGGTTTTTAAACTCAAGGGCTTCGATAATTTAGCATTTTCTTAAAAATGGACTACTTGTCTAGTAGCTTAGTATTTAGTTAGTTAGTTAGTTAGTTAGGTTAGTTAGTTAGTTTAGTTAGTTAGTTAGTAGTTAGTTAGTTAGTTAGTTAGTTAAGTTAGTTAGTTAGTAGTTAGTTAGTTAGTTAGTTAGTTAGTTAGTTAGTTGTTAGTTAGTTAGTTAGTTAGTTAGTTAGTTAGTTAGTTAGTTTAGAGTTAGTTAGTTTGTTTAGTTAGTTAGTTAGTTAGTGAGTATGTTAGTGAGTTAGTTAGTTAGTTAGTTAGTTAGTTAGTAGTTATTTAGTAGTAGTTAGTTAGTTAGGTTTTAGTTAGTTAGTTCGTTAGTTGTTAGTTAGTTTCGTTAGTTAGTTCGTTTTCGTTCGTTCGTTTCGTTCGTTCGTTCGTTAGTTTAGTTCGTTCGTTCGTTCGTTCGTTCGTTCGTTCGTTCGTTCGTTTCGTTTTCGTTCTTTTCGTTCGTTCGTTCGTTCGTTTTCGTTCGTTCGTTTTATTCGTTCGTTCGTTCGTTCGTTCGTTGTTCGTTCGTTCGTTCGTTCGTTCGTTCGTTCGTCGTTCGTTCGTTCGTTCGTTCGTTTCGTTCGTCGTCGTTCGTTCGTTCGTTCGTTTCGTTCGTTCGTTCGTTTCGTTCGTTCGTTCGTTCGTTCGTTTCGTTCGTTCGTTCGTTCGTTCGTTCGTTTCGTTCGTTCGTTCGTTCGTTCGTTCGTTCGTTCTTTTCGTTCGTTCGTTCGTTCGTTCGTTTCGTTCGTTCGTTCGTTCGTTCGTTCGTTCGTTCGTTCGTTCGTTCGTTGTTCGTTCGTTCGTTCTTTCGTTCGTTCGTTCGTTCGTTCGTTCGTTCGTTCGTTCGTTTCGTTCGTTCGTTTCGTTCGTTCGTTCGTCGTCGTTCGTTCGTTCGTTCGTTCGTTCGTTCGTCTTTGTTCGTTCTTTCGTTCGTTCGTTCGTTCGTTCGTTCGTTCGTTCGTTCGTTCTTTCGTTCGTTCGTTCGTTCGTTCGTTCGTTCGTTCGTTCGTTTCGTTCGTTCGTTCGTTCGTTCGTTCGTTCGTTCGTTCGTTCGTTCGTTCGTTCGTTCGTTCGTTCGTTCGTTCGTTCGTTGTTCGTTCGTTCGTTCGTTCGTTCGTTCGTTCGTTCTTCGTTCGTTCGTTCGTTCGTTCGTTCGTTCGTTCGTTCGTTCGTTCGTTCGTTCGTTCGTTCGTTTCGTTCGTTCGTTCGTTCGTTCGTTTCGTTCGTTCGTTCGTTCGTTCGTTCGTTCGTTCGTTCGTTTCGTTCGTTCGTTCGTTTCGTTCGTTCGTTCGTTCGTTCGTTCGTTCGTTCGTTCGTTCGTTTAGTTAGTTAGTAGTTAGTTAGTTAGTAGTTAGTTAGTTAGTGCAAGGAGGCTGTATGTTACATCAAATCCAAAGAAATAGGCCTAGGCCCTCACCGGGCCGATTTTGCTTACCTTACCAATTGAATTCTAAACCATGACCTCCAGTCTAACAGATAGGACTGTAACCACTAGTCTGTCTGAAGCCACACAAAAAAACAACCGAATTCATTACAAAATATTCAAAAAGTTTCATATAACATTTTTTTCTTCCCATACACAGTGTCAAGGAAACTTTACCGAAAGATTGTGCCGCTGCAACGGCATGTACGCAGCGCAGTGGTATTTACAAAATCCAAATAGATAAGTACAGTTTTGAACCATTTTATGTGGAATGCGACGCCGATACCGAAAATGGCGATTGGCTTTTGATACAAAGACGCCATGATGGCTCTGTCGATTTCTCTCGCAACTGGGAAGAGTACGAAAAAGGTTTCGGTGATGTCGATGGTGAATTTTTTATCGGATTGAAAAAACTTTACGCTCTAACAAACTACAATGGACCACAAGAGTTATTGATTCTAATGGAAGATGCAAATTCTACTGCCGCATATGCCAAATATGATACATTCGCCATTGGAAATGATACAGAGATGTATAAACTAAAGAAATTGGGAAAATTTACAGGCTCAGCAGGTGATTCATTGAAGATTCACTTGGGTATGAAATTCACAACAAAAGATCGTGATAATGATATTCATGCTACTTTAAATTGTGCTGCGCATTTTACGGGGGCATGGTGGCATGCGGGATGTCATCATAGGTGAGTACTTTGACGTGATTACTATTTGTTAGGAACTGAAATTTTTATTTTTATTGTTTACTTTCTTAGTAATCTTAATGGCAAATATGGCGATAATACATTCGGAAAAGGTATCAATTGGAAGTCTTATCGGGGTCATAATGCTTCGCTTAAGTATGTAAAAATTATGATACGTCGACGTAGGAGTTCATCATAAAATGTTTTTAATTGTTTAGAGTTTATGTTTTAATAAAATTATACATATATTATTTATTGGAATAGTAGGATGTTTGTGTTCTTAATAAAATCTGACAAATACAAGACCGTTCGAAATAACCGCAAGGGCAAAATTAAAAACCTCTTCTGATTTAATAAGTTATATGTTGTACGTATTCTGTTCTACATTTTTCAACTAAACTGGGACGAACGAAATAAAGGATTGTTTGGTATTGAAAATGGCCCATCGGTCATTTTGGATAGCCCCCATACAAGTGGACCCTCGAAAAACTACCTTAACGGGCATATATGTTTTAAAAGAGTTACTGTAGCGATAAAATTCAACATAAATAAGTTTTATATGAGTCAAAATCTTCCTATTAAATTTCATGAGGATGGGTCTATAATTGGGTCTACCCCCCTTAAGGGAATTACTTTAAAGCTCATTACTGGCTGAAAAATACGAGTAAAGCTATAAAATTTCACACACATAAATTTTATACAAGTTAAAATCTTTCTAACAAATTTATTGAAGATCGGTCCAAAATTACTTAAATTATCATTTCTGGCTTATAAGAAACATTTATATGAACTAAATCTTTCTACCGAATTTCATGCGGAAAGTTTGGGAACTTACTCTACTGACATAAAAGTGCGAGTGCAGCGATGATATTCGATGTAAACATGTTTATATGAACCAAAATCGGTCAAAAAATTTTATGAAAAACGATCAATCAGGGGCAGCTTTCCTTTTATGGCATACGGTTTGATGGTGGGTATATGAGATTCGTCAGAGCCGAATATAACACTCTCAAGGTGCCTGGCCCCTTATTACAAATCGGTCTATTTTTCGCTAAATGGATGTAGTTCTTTATGCAAAATTTGAGGATTCCAGCTCTAATAGTTTCACAGATACATATGGGTAATTTCATGTCATGTCACCCAACTCAAAAAATCGATTTTGATGAAATTTGCACCAAGGTTAATACTATTGGATAGTATGCCAGACTCAGCTCTATCGGCCAAGAACCGTCGGACTTAGAAAAAATCTCCTTTTGAACATTTTTGCTACGACCAATAGGTGAAAAGTTACAATCATTTGAATAAAATCCTGAATGGCACAAATGCCCAACTTTGACCCCCTCTAGGTCCGGCATTTCTTGACCGTTAGAGCTGAAAATTTGTGTCTAGCCTACTAGTACTAGCCATAGTGCAAATTTCTTCAAAATCAATTTTTTGAGTTGAGTCACTTTACATGAAATTGCCCATACATATAAAAAGAAGATGTTGTGTCTACGGTACTTTACAAATCAATTAGATTTCAATATAATTAAATCTCTGAATCATTCGAATTTTTTATATAAGTACATACGTACATATGTATGTACATAAATTTCTTATCAATTTAAATGAAATCAAAATTCTAAACAGCATTCAAAAACATATGGCGCATTATGAACCTTGTTATACCCTAAATTAACGGCTACATACATATATGTATTATTGTCCAATTCACAATCGATGTTATATGGTTGTATCGTAATTTTTATACCCTACACCACTACAGTGCATACATTTGTGCTGATTTTTGTAACACCCAAAAATATTGGTTCTACACCTTAAAGTATACCAATCGGGTCAGGATCACTTTCTGAGTTGATTTATGTCCGTCCGTCTGTCTGTCTATCTATCTGTCTGCCTGTCCGTCTGTCTGTGTGTCCACATAAACCTTGTGCACACTCTACAGTTCGCAATTTTCAAGATAATTTGATGAAATTTGGAACATACTCTTCTTTTGACCCAAGGACGACCCAAGGAACAACATTATTTGTTTCAAATAATGTTGTTTAAAAATACAACTGTACAACATCATTTGTGAATTGGATAAATACATACAAATCTCATGTTTCTTTTGATCAAAATAGTGTTTTTTTTTTTTCAATTGACGGAAAAGTGCCGATAACCGATGTTATGGAATAAAAATTGCAGATTTTTCTACAATTGTATCGGGCAGTCCTTGGGAGTAGGGGATATTCATGAACGTAGATGTATGCATATTACACTACTTTGGTGTATTTAAATATTATCAGTACAACGTTTTTGATGGGTGTTTAGTATTAAACGTGCCTCTCAACTAAATAGATCATACGAAAATAAAAATGTTTTATTTTAAATCATTTTGCAAAAGTCTTGTGTTAATAAGTTTTATATTTGAAATATTGGCATTGGAAAATAATGAGGTAATTGGCAAACTATTAAAAACAAATTATGTCCTCTAATGCGCATTTTAACAAAGAAATAATTAATTTGTACTCAAAATATTAATGAAAATATTATCATAACTTTTGACCCACATTTTTAACGTTTCAGTGCAACAAACTTGTTATTGAAGGCGGCGAACAGGCTCTTCGAAAACTTTTTAGCGATTTTATTGAAATAAAAACAACAATGCAAGAATTAAAAGCAAAGTTAGTATGATAAATAAAAAAAAATTTGAAATTCTATTAGCCATTAATATATACTTTTAAGATTAGAGGATTATCAAGAATTTAACGAGACCAAAAATAAAGGTATGGAAATATATATAAATTTTAAGAATAACAAATATCAAATCGACTCTTTCTATTTGCAACAGATCTACCAATGTTTGATATACGAGTTGATACTTTACCCCAAAAATGGTAAGACCAACAAGACATTATTTTCAGTGCATAATTAAATCTTAAAATTCATTCTCAGCCAACGTAATTCCCTGCCTAAAGATTGCGCTGAGGCCACTGCTTGTACTCATCATAGTGGTTTCTATAAAATTCAAATTCCTCCCTACACAGAGCCACCATTTTATGTTGAATGTGATGCTAAAACTGATGGTGGAGATTGGATTGTTATCCAGAGACGTCAAGATGGTTCTGTTGAATTCTATCGCAATTGGGATGAGTATCAACTGGGTTTCGGTGATATAGACGGAGAATTCTTTATCGGTTTGCATAAGCTATATGCTCTCACCAACAACAATGGTCCCCAAGAGCTGCTGATCGAAATGGAAGATGTAAATCAAAAGACAGCATTTGCCAAATATGATGCCTTTGCTATAGCCAATGAAACGGATATGTATAAACTAAAGAAATTGGGAAGATATTCTGGTACAGCTGGAGATTCCTTGCAGGATTCAGTAGGTTGTAAATTTACCACAAAGGATCGTCACAACGATCGCAACAGCGAAAATTGTGCCGTTATGTATATCGGTGCTTGGTGGTATAAAGCCTGTCATTTGAGGTGAGTTTGTTATTGGAAATACTTCTCTGAATATACATATGTACTTCTGATTGTTTAATTTTTATTTTTATTTTAGCAATCTAAATGGTCAGTATGGTAACAATGAATTTGGCAAAGGTATAAATTGGAAGACATTTAGCACATACACCGCATCTCTGAAATATGTCCGGATGATGATACGTCGTCGTAGATTTTAGTTTTCTTATGTCGCTGTTACATTATTTAAGATTAAATTTTAATAAAAAGGCCGCTATTCATTAGTATTTTTACACGGTGATGATATTGGAGGCAAGTTCTTACCACGCTAGCTTACAAATTACTACTTAAATAAGTACTTACAAATTAGGAGTTAAAAAGATGTTTTGTTGGGTTTCTTGTTCGCTAGTTCGCTGTTTTACTCACAACACCTCTGCCTAGTTATTTTATAGTGCTTCCAATAATGGTTTTCACACAGAAAAAATATTTTCTTTCTGCTCTAGTGCGCAATTAAATAAAATGTGCAAATAAAACGCCAAAACTTACTTATGTTCCTGATTGTATGTAAGTCATTCCAAGAGTACTTAAAAGTAATGCAGACGGTAAGTAGTAGTCATTGAAAAGTAAGTGGCTATGTAAGTACAAGCAATTTTTTATTACAACGAAAACTAAAAATATGTAGATACATTTTATAAATTTTTAATAACTATTGACTAATTGGAAAAAACTTTCACAGAATGATTAGCATATACATACATAAGTATACAAAACATCATTCGATTCAAATGCTAATTCGTTATTATTAAGTAATGAGTTCTTTTACGATTATGGTAAATTATGTATAATTCTGTCCCGATAAGTCGAGTTAGTTAGTTAGTTAGTTAGTTAGTTAGTTAGTTAGTTAGTTAGTTAGTTAGTTAGTTAGTTAGTTAGTTAGTTAGTTAGTTAGTTAGTTAGTTAGTTAGTTAGTTAGTTAGTTAGTTAGTTAGTTAGTTAGTTAGTTAGTTAGTTAGTTAGTTAGTTAGTTAGTTAGTTAGTAGTTAGTAGTTAGTTAGTTAGTTAGTTAGTTAGTTAGTTAGTTAGTAGTTAGTTAGTTAGTTAGTTAGTTAGTTAGTTAGTTAGTAGTTAGTTAGTTAGTTAGTAGTTAGTTAGTTAGTTAGTTAGTTAGTTAGTTAGTAGTTAGTTAGTTAGTTAGTTAGTTAGTTAGTTAGTTAGTAGTTAGTAGTTAGTTAGTTAGTTAGTTAGTTAGTTAGTAGTTAGTTAGTTAGTTAGTTAGTTAGTTAGTTAGTTAGTTAGTTAGTTAGTTAGTTAGTTAGTTAGTTAGTTAGTTAGTTAGTTAGTTAGTTAGTAGTTAGTTAGTTAGTTAATTAGTAGTTAGTTAGTAGTTAGTTAGTTAGTTAGTTAGTTAGTAGTTAGTTAGTTAGTTAGTTAGTTAGTAGTTAGTTAGTTAGTAGTTAGTTAGTTAGTTAGTTAGTTAGTTAGTTAGTTAGTTAGTTAGTAGTAGTTAGTTAGTAGTTAGTTAGTTAGTTAGTAGTTAGTTAGTTAGTTAGTTAGTTAGTTAGTTAGTTAGTTAGTTAGTTAGTTAGTTAGTTAGTTAGTTAGTTAGTTAGTAGTTAGTTAGTTAGTTAGTTAGGTAGTTAGTAGTAGTTAGTTAGTTAGTTAGTTAGTTAGTTAGTTAGTTAGTTAGTAGTTAGTTAGTTAGTTAGTTAGTTAGTTAGTTAGTTAGTTAGTTAGTTAGTTAGTTAGTTAGTTAGTTAGTTAGTTAGTTAGTTAGTTAGTTAGTTAGTTAGTTAGTTAGTTAGTAGTTAGTTAGTAGTTAGTTAGTTAGTTAGTTAGTTAGTTAGTTAGTTAGTTAGTTAGTTAGTTAGTTAGTTAGTTAGTTAGTTAGTTAGTTAGTTAGTTAGTTAGTTAGTTAGTTAGTTAGTTAGTTAGTAGTTAGTTAGTTAGTAGTAGTTAGTTAGTTAGTTAGTTAGTTAGTTAGTTAGTTAGTTAGTTAGTTAGTTAGTTAGTTAGTTAGTTAGTTAGTTAGTTAGTTAGTTAGTTAGTTAGTTAGTTAGTAGTTAGTTAGTTAGTTAGTTAGTTAGTTAGTTAGTTAGTTAGTTAGTTAGTTAGTTAGTTAGTTAGTTAGTTAGTTAGTTAGTTAGTTAGTTAGTTAGTTAGTTAGTTAGTTAGTTAGTTAGTTAGTTAGTTAGTTAGTTAGTTAGTTAGTAGTTAGTTAGTTAGTTAGTTAGTTAGTTAGTAGTAGTTAGTTAGTTAGTTAGTTAGTTAGTTAGTTAGTTAGTTAGTTAGTTAGTTAGTAGTTAGTTAGTTAGTTAGTTAGTTAGTTAGTTAGTTAGTTAGTAGTTAGTTAGTTAGTTAGTTAGTTAGTTAGTTAGTTAGTTAGTTAGTAGTTAGTTAGTTAGTTAGTTAGTTAGTTAGTTAGTTAGTAGTTAGTTAGTTAGTTAGTTAGTTAGTTAGTTAGTTAGTTAGTTAGTAGTTAGTTAGTTAGTTAGTTAGTTAGTTAGTTAGTTAGTTAGTTAGTTAGTTAGTTAGTTAGTTAGTTAGTTAGTTAGTTAGTTAGTTAGTTAGTTAGTTAGTTAGTAGTTAGTTAGTTAGTTAGTAGTTAGTTAGTTAGTTAGTTAGTTAGAAAAACTTCCTCTTCATAAGTATTAAAAATTTACTTTGTTTTCTTACATACAGATACTTGTAATATAATACGAAAAAATGTAATTCCATTATAAATTAAGATTTCGCCCTTCAAAATTGCAAAACTGCACTGATAAGTGATAAGTACAATTATAATGCTGCTATATAAAAAATAGTTATTCATTATACATTTCTCATAAAATTTGTAACACTCAGATATTTAAATCGTAATAGTTTTTAAACGATTTTCTACAACAAAATCGAAGATGACGTAGGGTATTGTATATTCTACTCATTTTTTGTGATTCCTTGTAATTTATAACTTTATATTGGAAAAAGGCAATAGTGTAATGGAAATATCGGAAAATATAGTATAAATAGCAGTTATACTTTTTGATAATGTTTAGTTTATATTCTATACTGTATTACAAATTGTATGAAATTATTAATTTAAAAACCTATTCAATACTATTGATTTTAATTTATTTAAAATATTACATTGTTAACGCTAACGCAAAAGAGTCACTTCTTGAAAAGTATCAAGATTATGATATATTTTTAGAAAAAGGTAAGATAAATTTATTATTATATTGCTAAATAGGCTCATACCGTGATTTTTGTTCCAAATATTTTTTAGTTCGATGAGCGAGTAGATAAATTTCCAGAAATTTGGTAAATATCTTTTGATTACAACAATCCATCTTATGGGCCTCATTGTGCTTGCTAGTCTATATTCTAGTCTATAGTCTAGTTATAGTCTAGTCTATAGTCTAGTCTATAGTCTAGTCTAGTCTATAGTCTATATAGTCTAGTCTATAGTCTAGTCTATAGTCTAGTCTATAGTCTAGTCTATAGTCTAGTCTATAGTCTAGTCTATAGTCTAGTCTATAGTCTAGTCTATAGTCTAGTCTATAGTCTAGTCTATAGTTTATTCTATAGTCTAGTCTATAGTCTAGTCTATAGTCTAGTCTATAGTCTAGTCTATAGTCTAGTCTATAGTCTAGTCTATAGTCTAGTCTATAGTCTAGTCTATAGTCTAGTCTATAGTCTAGTCTATAGTCTAGTCTATAGTCTATAGCCTAGTCTATAGTCTAGTCTATAGTCTAGTCTATAGTCTAGTCTATAGTCTAGTCTATAGTCTAGTCTATAGTCTAGTCTATAGGTCTAGTCTATAGTCTAGTCTATAGTCTAGTCTATAGTCTAGTCTATAGTTAGTCTATAGTCTAGTCTATAGTCTAGTCTATAGTCTAGTCTATAGTCTAGTCTATAGTCTAGTCTATAGTCTAGTCTATAGTCTAGTCTATAGTCTAGTCATAGTCTAGTCTATAGTCTAGTCTATAGTCTAGTCTATAGTCTAGTCTATAGTCTAGTCTATAGTCTAGTCTATAGTCTAGTCTATAGTCTAGTCTATAGTCTAGTCTATAGTCTAGTCTATAGTCTAGTCTATAGTCTAGTCTATAGTCTAGTCTATAGTCTATTCTATAATCTAGTCTATAGTCTAGTCTATAATTTAGTCTATAGTCTAGTCTATAGGTCTAGTCTATAGTCTAGTCTATAGTCTAGTCTATAGTCTAGTCTATAGTCTAGTCTATAGTCTTAGTCTATAGCTCTAGTCTATAGTCTAGTCTAGTCTAGTCTATAGTTTAGTCTATAGTCTAGTCTATAGTCTAGTCTATAGTCTATTCTATAGTCTAGTCTATAGTCTAGTCTATAGTCTAGTCTATAGTCTAGTCTATAGTCTAGTCTATAATCAGTCTATAGTCTAGTCTATAGTTTAGTCTATAGTCTAGTCTATAGTCTAGTCTATAGTCTAGTCTATAGTCTAGTCTATAGTCTAGTTTATAGTCTAGTCTATAGTCTAGACTATAGTCTAGTCTATAGTCTAGTCTATAGTTTAGTCTATAGTCTAGTCTATAGTCTGGTCTATGGTCTAGTCTATAGTCTAGTCTATAGTCTAGTCTATAGTCTAGTCCATAGTCTAGTCTATAGTCTAGTATATAGTCTAGTCTATAGTCTAGTCTATAGTCTAGTCTATAGTCTAGTCTATAGTCTAGTCTCTAGCCTAGTATATAGTCTGGTCTATTAGTCTAGTCTATAGTCCAGTTTATAGTCTACCTTATGGAGTAGTCTATAGTATAGTATAGTATAGTCTTTATTCTAGCTTATAGTCTTGTCTATAATTTAGTCTATAGTGTAGTTTATAGAATAGTCTAGTATATATTCTAATCAATAGTCTAGTGTATAGTCTAGTCTGTATTCTAATGTATATTCTAGTCGATAGTCTGTCTATAGTCTTTGTTTATAACCTAGTCTGTAGTTTAGGCTATAGTCTAGTACATAGTACAGTCTATAGTATAGTCTAATAAAATATAAGCACATAACATAGTTAGTATTTTTGGTCGAGATCTGCAATTTTGATATCTTTAAAATACAATTTTTTTTTAATGTTTAATAAAATATTTTATAAAAATTTAAGAAATATTTTAAAGAAGAATTTCACTGCGAAAAAGGGAACATTTTCATTCGTAATTTGATTTTGAAGCACTTAGATCTACTTAAACTTATTATAGGGTGTAATTGTAAACATTTTCATTTATTTTTATATTTCTCAATTTTTAGTTGATAAGAAATTTCTGGGATTCACCTAAAAGATCTATTCGTATACATGTATTTGAGAAATTCGTTATTATCAACATCAACATAATTTGCACACAAAAATAACACCATTTCCATATATAAAGAAATTCAGATGATATAACTACAAAACAGTATTACTGGGTTATATAAATCACAGTCTAAATTAAATTATTTCATACGTAAACCTCTTAGCCATTGAGAATCGGGGTGCTAATTTACTTTAGTTTATAATTTTAAGGCAATAATGGTATCAGCATTTTCTTTATTATCGTAAATGGTGTAAATATAATCAAGCAAATTATAAGAATACATTTAATAAAATAATTTTAAAAAGTAGCTTTTAATTATTATTAAGAATCTGTGATCTTCACATCAACTTAGAAATGTTTAATTTAAAAATCGTTTCGTGTATTTTGTTTTTAATTTTCCTAAATTTGTTTAAATTTCAAATGATTAAAGCGGATGCAGAGGAGGTATTTGGTTATTATTGATAGATCTTCTTTAAAAACTTTCTAACAATAATTTTTACAGTGTAACAAAATCTTAATTGAAGGCGGAGAACGTGCGCTCAAAAAAATATTCAATGATTTTGAGGATATAAAAAGCATAGTGAAAGATCTGAAATCAAAGTAATTTCAAATTATTACAATTTTCTATAGTTTATTTATTTATAAATTGTCATTGTTAATATATAGTGAAGGAGTGTGTCAGGAAAGCAACAAATGTGTGGAAAACGGTGAGATGAATATTATTTAAAATTAAAAGCGATATAAAAAAGCTTGTTATATTTTTCTATATTTAAAAATTTCCTATATTTAACATTACAATTTATTTCATTAGCAGATTTGCCATTCTTTGATGTGCGGGTGGATCAGATGCCTGAACACTGGTAAGACAATATACTTACTTATAGGTACTATAAATATGATTGAATCACCCTTAAAGCGGAACTGTTGTCCGATGATTAAAATATTCAGTCTACAGGTTGTAAAGCCTAAAATTTTCCAATCATAATGTAGTTGTATATGTATCTAGTATGCGTCGCTAATTTCGCAACTAATTTCGCCAAAGACTTGGTAATACAAAAAAAAAGATTCGATATGCTCAGCAATCGTCAAATTCCGTTCATTCGATTTGGTGAAAAAGTGGTGAACAACTACTAACTCCTAACTAACTAACTAACTAACTAACTTCCTAAACTAACTAACTAACTAACTAAAAAACGAACTAACGAATAACTAACAAACTAAGAACGAACGAACTAACTAAATAACTAACTAACTAACTAACGAACGAAGAACTAACGAACGAACGAACAACGAATAAAAACTAACGAACGAACGAAACGAACGAACGAACGAACGAACGAACGAACGAACGAACTAACAAACGAACGAACGAACGAACTAACGAACAAGAACGAACGAACGAACGAACGAACGAACTAACGAACGAAACGAACGAACGAAAGAACGAACGAAAAACGAACGAAACGAACGACGAACGAACGACAACGAAACGAACGAACGAACGAACGAACGAACGAACGAACGACGAAGAACGAACGAACGAACTAACTAACGAACTAACTAAGAACGAACTAACGAACGAAACGAACTAAAGAACGAACGAACGAACGAACTAACTAAGAAACGAAGAACGAAAGAACGAAGAACGAACGAACGAACGAACTAACGAACGAACGAAACGAACGAACGAAACGAACGAACGACGAAACGAACTAACGAACGAACGAACGAACGAACGACGAACGAACGAACGAAAACGAACGAAACGAACGAACGAACGAAACGAACGAACGAACGAACGAAGAACGAACGAACGAACGAAACGAACGAAACGAACGAACGAACGAACGAACGAAACGAACGAACGAACGAACGAACGAACGAACAACGAAACGAAACGAACGAAATAACGAAACGAACGAACGAACGAACGAACGAACGAACGAACGAACGAACAAAGAACAACAACGAACCAAGAACGAACGAAACTAACGAACGAACGAAGAAGAAATAACGAACGAACGAACGATACTAACGAACAACGAACAACGAACTAACTAACGGAAACGAACGAACTGAAACGAATAAACGAACGAACGAACTAAACTAACTAACGAACGAAACTAAGACTAAACTACTAACTACTAAATAACTAACAACGAACGAAATAAACTAACTAACTAACTACTAACTACCTAACTAACTAACTAACTAACAACTAACTAACAACCTAAATTTTAAATTACCCGCCTCAGAATATTACTTTAACGATCGTAAACTGCCTTATTAATTTTTTTTAGCCCCATAATTGACCATACCCCATCTTAAGGTCCCGTTTCAGAAAAAAATTCTTAAAAGTATAAAGTTCTGCTTCAGAAGATGACTTTAACGCTCATAAACTGGTTTATTAATCGCAGTATTGTGATTAAAATTCAAGTATAAAGACACAAAAATCTATTTACAAAATTGTAAACTCTTCCGACTTTTTGCAATGTTGTTGGGTTGTGAAATATAATTCATAACCAATTTGTATAATTCAAGGAGGGTGCAGCACCACTATTTATATGCGATAAATGATACGAAGAATTTAAAGATTTTTATATCCTGAAATCTATAAATTAAATCTCCTTTTTAAAGCCACAGGACAACTCTACCTAAAGATTGCGCTGCCGCCACAGCGTGTACTAAACGCAGTGGTATATACAAAATTCAAGTCGAGCAGTACAGCAATGAACCCTTCTATGTGCCTTGTGATGATGAAACCGAAAACGGTGATTGGTTGGTAATACAAAGACGTCAAGATGGTTCAGTGGATTTCTATAGAGATTGGCTGGAATATGAAAAAGGTTTTGGTGACATTGAAGGAGAGTTTTTATAGGCTTAAGAAAATTACACGCTCTTACTAACTATAATGGTCCCCAGGAATTGTTGATTGTAATGGAAGATTTTAATGCGACTAGAGCATACGCCAAATATGATGCATTTGCCATAGGCAATGAAACTGAATCCTATAAACTGAAAAGACTGGGAAAATATACTGGAACAGCAGGAAATTCTTTTCAACGGCAGATTGGCATGAAATTTTCAACCAAAGATCGAGACAATGATGAACATGCAAATGGTAGTTGTGCGGTTTCGTATACAGGGGCATGGTGGTATACTTACTGTCATAACAGGTATATTTGCATTATTTTTATTTCTTATATATTATTTATTGAATTGTTTTAATACATATTTATAGCAATCTTAATGGCAAATATGGCGACAATACTCATGGCAAGGGCATCAATTGGAAAACATTTCGTGGTCACAATGTTTCTCTTACTTATGTTAAAATGATGATACGACGCAGTAGAACCATATAATTAGAATTAGTCCATCTATATAATATGTACATAGTAATTGTAATAAAAAAACCTCAAGTATAATTTTAAATAAACTTTATATCGTGTTTTATTACAATTTTTATTTATACTTTATTGGAAATTCTATTTCATTCAGTTGTATTTTACAATTTCTAGTGTAAAGATTTTGTTTTTAGTTAAATAATGTATAGTTTTAAATTGTATCTATCCATTTTATTTTCAATAATTTGTTTACGGAATATTATTGCGGACGAATCTGGTTTAGATGTAAGTTCTCAAGTGATCATTTTTTATATATATGTAAGACCCTGATGTTTACAGTCACTACTTTCGCAAGGAACTTGACTAAGAATTCTCTAAATAGTCCATGGAAATGAATCGTTAAACTAATCGATAGAGTAGTCAAAGACTAAAACATAGACTGTGGACTAGTCAATATACTAGACCATAGACTAGACATGTAGTCTAAACACTAAACAATAGACTGGAGTAGTCCATTGCTTAGACCACAGACGAATCAGTAAACTAGTCCATAGAGTAGTAAAAAGACTAGACCATAGACTAGTCCATAACCTACTCAATAGACTACACCATAGTGAAGTCTAAAAACTAAACAGTGGAGCATAGACCTATACAATATACTAGACCATAGAGTAGTCAACAGTCGAGACCATAGACTAGCAAGTAGTCTAGACCATTGACTGGTCAATGAAATAGTAAAACATGTAAGAACGTATAGTCGGACATGACCCTAGGACAGTAAGTATGTTTAAAAATGTGGATTAGTAGATTTAAGTTGTTTTTTTACCTTTATTCCGAAATACATAAGGGCTTATACTTATACATTTTGGTCGAACGATTTATGTACGTTTGCATTAAGGTTATTTATGCAGAATTTCCCAATTTCATTTTATTTTCTAATTTTTAGTGGACGAAACCCATTCTAGAGGTTGGGTTGTATACCTATTCAAAAGCATTTAACGATTTGCTGGACATGTCAAAGGATATCCATGATACAACTGCAAAAGGTTTAAATAATATAAAGGCTACTTTAAGAGCAATGTACTTATAACGTCTAATTACTTATTAATTTACAATTAACAAATTCCTTCCTCCTTAGCCCAATTGATACGAATGTAATGTTTTATAGAAAGGGTAATTAATGAATCGTAATTGTGAAAAGTATAGTATTTTACACTAAATTTTTTTTATCTTTTAATTTCAGTTTTACCCAATAATCAATATAAGAAGATTGTCATGAAAACGAAATCCACTAGAATAGATTTGCCGAATCGTATTGTGAAAAACTCCAATATTTTAAATACTAATAAATTTTTATGAAAATCTGCTACGGAAAGCAGATCTGTATGAAGCAAATGGGATTATTGCAAACAGATATTACTTATTTATTACTTATTGTTATAAACTAATAAAGTATTTCAAATTTTTACATACATATGTTGATACAATTCAAAAATAAGTTCGCACACGATCATTTCAAAACCCAAAATAACACATAGCCACACATTTTTTACCTTGAGTCTAGCCAATGCTTTTCTAAAGGTTTGTGCCGCGCATCTTATTCGTCGTGTTTACGAGGTAGCTTAGCTTAGGGACGATATTATTTATGAAAATAAGAATATCCATCGTTTTTAAACAACTAGACTATAGGTTAGACTATAGACCAGACTATAAACCAGACTATAGACTATACACTAGACTATAGACTAGACTATAGACTAGACTATAGACTAGACTATAGACTAGACTATAGACTAGACTATAGACTAGACTATAGACTAGACTATAGACGAGACTATAGACTAGACTATAGACTAGACTATAGACTAGACTATACACTAGACTATAGACTAGACTATAGACTAGACTATAGACTAGACTATAGACTAGACTATAGACTATACTATAGACTCGACTGCAGACTAGACTATAGACTAGACTAGACTAGACTAGACTTGGCTAGACTAGACCAGACTATAGATTAGATAATAGACTATACTATAGTTTATGTATTAGTAGTATTCTACGAACAATTCTCTGGATTCTTCTATAGACTATAGCTATATACAGTAACATGACAAGTCTATGGATGCCATCATATAAGGTCAAATATGGGCCGACATTCTCCATACTTATCATAATAATTGCTTTCTTGTGGAAATCAACTAGTGGAATATTTTTTTAGGATTGCTGCATAATTAACATATGTGTTTCTCAGTATTTAAGTGGTATTCCTATATTTCCCATTTTCAATGCCAAACAATTCTTTTTGAGCCCCCTTTCGAACCCTATCGTGATATCAACAGACAGACGGATATGCACTATGTTTTTACAATTTAATAAAGTCACAGAATATATTTACATATATGTATATAATATATGTACATATGTTTTTAGACCAATATTTCGATTTGTTACAAACGGATGGGGAAAATATATACATACACCCATTTTTAATAGTGGGTGTAAAAACACTAATGAATCCAAAACGCACATATTTATTTCGAAAGAATAATAAACAAGCAAATAAACGGTAAATCTCCGAAACACAAAGAATTTGTAAATAAATAAAACCCACAATTTTTACTCTATAAAAGACTGATAACAATAAATTAATCACACAAACTAAATGTTCCTCTACGATGAAGGTAAAGTGAGTGAAAAGTAATTGAATGTAAATTATTGTTTCAAAAAATTTAGGTTTTTTTTCGTATTACTTTTCCATCAGTTCTAGTAAATGTTTATAGTATTAAACAATATTATACTTCCAAAATGTTCATTACAACTAAGAATAATATGAAACTTCACAAATAACCCTCGTATTTAGGTTCTATCCTACCTACAGTTCTTCACCTCATATCTTTTCTTAAAATAATTTTTTGTTCTTTTTTTTTAATTTTTTGTTCTCTAAAATGACATATAAATTATAATTTCATCCAAGAAATTTTATTCAGTTTCCATACAGCATCTGGTTAATAAAGTTCCTGTTTTTGAGCGTGTTTGTTTTTTTTTTTTTTTTGTGCGATAAAAATATGAATTTAAATATTTTAATATTAAGTTTAATTGCTATCAATGGGCTCGTATTTGGTCATGAATGTGAGGTTGTTAAAAATGAAATCAGAAAAAATAAAATTAAATTGTAATGATGTCATTAATATTTTGTAGGGATCAAATACGGTAACGTATGTCGATGAGATTGTGATTCTTAAAAAGATTTTTAACAATTTGAATGACCTTAAAATGGACTTGAGCAGTGTAATTCAAGGTAAAGAGTTTGTTAAACAACAAAAATGAAATGAAACAAATAAAAAGGTATTGTCGGTTATATCTGATATACTAGATATCCTGACTTAGAACATACTTGTATAAAATTTGGTTAATATTGGTGCATAATTAAGATATCGGGGGAATTGACCAAAATCTTTTATAGGACTCGACATTGGTAGATACTGGATCATACTGGCAGGCTATACACAAACATCAAACATGACCGATCGCATACTAGAGATAGACATTGTGGGAAACTTTGAGGCTCTGATCGTGGTCTTTCGGAACATTAAAACAAAAACCCGTGGAAATCCGGGTATAAAACTGGAAACCCATAAACCTAAAAATACTGCCATCTATCTAATCGCAACCCTAGTTTCCAGGTAGAAGTCTGTGTAATATCGGAATGTATATACCAATATTCAGAATGTATTTACCAATATTCAGAAGGTGATATATAAGACCACATGAGACTCTAAGAGGACCTCAACTGAATACTCTTCTAGAGGTCAGAAGTGCATTGAACTCTAAGAGGGCCTTAACCGAATACTCTTATAGAGGTAAATGGGTAGCAGGCCACTCGATAATAATCGGCAATGAAATAATCGATAATAATCGGCTACAAAGGAAAGGTAACTCGACACAGTTAACATGACGAATGCAAAACCGTTCAACGTAATATGGGCGAGAGAGATGATCAATGATCCTATGCGTTGACCTTAACAACAGGAAGGCGAAAAGCCTTCTAAATCCATGATGGTGTCTCAGTGAAAGCACAGGATCGTCGAAATCTAAATTTCTCAAGAGTGACGGTATTCCAGATATTATACCGCTCAAGAACACTGACTGAAAATTATAGGTTAATACGCCCAAGAACCCGAGTTCTTCTCATAGATATCTATATAAGAGGTTTTCGCCGAGATTTGTTCGGATCTGATGGAGTATATGTATAGATATCCTCCTTTCAGTTCAACATAACTGATCAGTGCAGAATTTTCTTACGTTTGATATCTCGAATGGAGGTTAAAACGGAGTTTTTCAAACTTTATGAGACGATATCTAGAAAACCTGATGTGATGAATGGTTTGATATCTCGAATGGAGGTTAAAATGGAGTTTTTCAAACTTTATGAGACGATATCTAGAAAACCTGATGTGATGAATGGTATCTGAGTTTGACTTTTTTGCAAATTTTTTGGACATTCTACCGAAATTCCGGGAATACATTTCTGAAATCACTTAAAACTAATTTTAAGCAAAAACAAGTAAGAGTGCTATATTCGGCTATGCCGAATTTTAATAATCTTAATAACTTTGATTGTCAATGTGCTTATATGGGAGTTGTGAAATTGGTAGAATGATGTACATATATGTACACAAAACATATTCAAGTCGAATTTTATCCCTATAGCTTTAGAATTCAATGAAATATATGCGTGTAAGTGATTTTCGGAAGTGAACCTTATATGGGAGCTATGACCAATTATGTGCCCATCCGGAAAAACTTTCGTAGAGTGATTTATATTTAGACAAAACATATTTGTGTCGAATTTTATCTATGTATATAGCTTTATTTGACAATGAAATATGTGCTTTTAAGTGATTTTGGGAAGTGGGCCTTATATGGGAGCTATGACCAATAGTGACCGATCCGTAAAAAATTTGGTAGAATGATTTGTATGTATACAAAACATATTCAAGTTAAATTTTATCTCTATAGCTTTAGAATTCAATTAAATATATGTGTTTAAGTGATTTTCGGAAGTGGACCTTATATGGGAGCTATGACCAATTATGGGCCTATGCGGAAAAAATTTAGTAGAGTCATTCATATTTATACAAAATATATTTATGTCGAATTTTATTACGATAAATATATTTGACAGTGAAATATTTGTTTTTAAGTGATTTTCGGAAGTGGGCCTTATATGGGAGCTATGACCAAAAATGGACCGATCCGTAAAAAATTTGGTAGAATGATTTGTATGTATATACAAAATATTTGTGTCGAATTTTATGCCGATAACTTTATAATTCAATGAAATATATGCGTTTAGGTGATTTTCGAAAGTGGACTTTATATGGGAGCTATGACCAATTGTGGACCGACTGAGATCTACGTTGATAGTATGATTTCTGTTTATATTATATTTGCATGTACCAAATTTTGTGTTGATACTGAAATATTTGAGGGAGTTATTAAAGATAAACTAATTTCCGGGAATATATACCTTTGTATGGGGGCTATGGGAAATTTAGGATCGATTATATTGATTTTCAACATAATTGATCCCTGGGTAAAAAAAATAATGTGTGACAAAATTCATCGAATTATCTTTTGTAGTTTCTGAGAAAACGACTTAAGAATTACGAAAAAACTGTAATTTTTTCGAGGTAGTCTGAAATTTTTACTCATAACTTTTAACGTTTTGAACCGATTTTGCTGATTTTCAATGCCAAACTGCTTAGGACAATAGTAAATATTTTCGGTGAATTTGGTTTATTTCTTTTGCTTAGTTTTAACGTGAGCGTGTTTTAGGCAGACAGACAGACGGTCAGACAGACGGACATAAATAAATCGACTTAGAATTTGATAAGGTCCCGGAATATATATACTTTGTTGGGTCTCAGATGAATAATTCTTAGTGTTACACACGGAATGACAAACTTATATATACCCTCTATCACCACTGATTGTGGTGAAGGGTATAACTAGATGGAGTCATAATCCAAATTTCAAAAACCCACCTATATACATACAGCAAGTTTGTTGGAATTATTCTAGATTGGGATCGTGAGGATTTTGAATCTCTTTGAACAGTTGGTAGCCAAATAAAGTTCAACTAACTTAAAATTAAGATTTTTTTGATATTTAGTCCATATTTAGTTATAGCTCCTATTTAATCATAACTTAAATCAATATTTTTCATTACAACTTTTTAGATTTGAAGAGACCCAAAACAGCTTTAAGAGTACAGTTAATGGTAACTATAAATTTCAACATTCTTTACAAACATTCGTAATTAATAATTCTGAAAAATTTTCACAGATTCATCAATATTTGACATACGCTATGATGAATTTCCAGCCAAATGGTATATACATATTATAAAAATAATTTAAACATATCCCGATCATACTTAATAAAAAAAATATTTTTTTAAAGTAAAACCAATGTTCTACCAAGAAGTTGTGCTGAAGCCACCTCCTGCACTCGGCGTAGTGGCATATATAAAATTCTCCTAACCAAATACAGCAGTGAACCATTTCTGGTCGAGTGTGATGTTAGAACTGAAGGTGGCGGTTGGATTTTAATACAAAGACGTCAAGATGGTTCTGTGGATTTCTATCGTGATTGGAGCGAATATCAAAACGGTTTTGGCAATATCGAAGGAGAATTCTTTATCGGTCTAAACAAGTTGCATGCCCTGACCAACTATAATGGACCACAGGAGTTACTGATCGTTTTGGAAGATAATAATGAAATTAAACAGGCGAAATATAGTAATTTTGTTATCGGCAATGAAAGTGAAATGTACGCTTTGAAGCATTTAGGTGTTTATTCGGGAAATGCTGGCGATTGTTTAATATCGCATTTGGGCATGAAATTTAGCACTAAAGATCGTGATAATGATGAGTATGAATCGAATTGTGCGGTAGTTTATACAGGGGCTTGGTGGTACAAGAAATGTCACGTAAGGTATGTTTATTTTTATTATAGTTTTTAGAGGTTAAATAATTTATGGGTTTATTCATTTCTGCAGCAATCTTAATGGCAAATATGGCGATACAAATTATGCTAAAGGCATTACATGGCAATCATTCCGTGGCTACAATGTCTCTATAAAACATGCTAAAATGATGATTAGAAGGCGACAATTTTAAATTTTTAACATGAAGAAATCATTACTCTACTGATATGCGACTTAATTGTATTATTTAACTAGCTATACCCAGTGTACTTTGCTACCCTAAAAGGAATATGTATAAATAAAAATCCCACTTAACGATTTTGAAGATTCTAACTACAATAGTTTTCCAGATTTATAATATGTTACATATGAGAGATGTCAAGCAAATTAATGCAAGTTCGCCAGTTTCTATCTATCGCCAATTTCTATCTATCTATAAAAAATTTTAATAATATAAGAGTTTCCAATATGCTCGAAATTTTGTATTTAATTCATATATGTTGTGCCAAGCCACCCATTGAAAGTCCAAGAACCCGAGTTCTTCTCATAGATATCTATATAAGAGGTTTTCGCCGAGATTTGTTCGGATCTGATGGAGTATATGTATAGATATCCTCCTTTCAGTTCAACATAACTGATCAGTGCAGAATTTTCTTACGTTTGATATCTCGAATGGAGGTTAAAACGGAGTTTTTCAAACTTTATGAGACGATATCTAGAAAACCTGATGTGATGAATGGTTTGATATCTCGAATGGAGGTTAAAATGGAGTTTTTCAAACTTTATGAGACGATATCTAGAAAACCTGATGTGATGAATGGTATCTGAGTTTGACTTTTTTGCAAATTTTTTGGACATTCTACCGAAATTCCGGGAATACATTTCTGAAATCACTTAAAACTAATTTTAAGCAAAAACAAGTAAGAGTGCTATATTCGGCTATGCCGAATTTTAATAATCTTAATAACTTTGATTGTCAATGTGCTTATATGGGAGTTGTGAAATTGGTAGAATGATGTACATATATGTACACAAAACATATTCAAGTCGAATTTTATCCCTATAGCTTTAGAATTCAATGAAATATATGCGTGTAAGTGATTTTCGGAAGTGAACCTTATATGGGAGCTATGACCAATTATGTGCCCATCCGGAAAAACTTTCGTAGAGTGATTTATATTTAGACAAAACATATTTGTGTCGAATTTTATCTATGTATATAGCTTTATTTGACAATGAAATATGTGCTTTTAAGTGATTTTGGGAAGTGGGCCTTATATGGGAGCTATGACCAATAGTGACCGATCCGTAAAAAATTTGGTAGAATGATTTGTATGTATACAAAACATATTCAAGTTAAATTTTATCTCTATAGCTTTAGAATTCAATTAAATATATGTGTTTAAGTGATTTTCGGAAGTGGACCTTATATGGGAGCTATGACCAATTATGGGCCTATGCGGAAAAAATTTAGTAGAGTCATTCATATTTATACAAAATATATTTATGTCGAATTTTATTACGATAAATATATTTGACAGTGAAATATTTGTTTTTAAGTGATTTTCGGAAGTGGGCCTTATATGGGAGCTATGACCAAAAATGGACCGATCCGTAAAAAATTTGGTAGAATGATTTGTATGTATATACAAAATATTTGTGTCGAATTTTATGCCGATAACTTTATAATTCAATGAAATATATGCGTTTAGGTGATTTTCGAAAGTGGACTTTATATGGGAGCTATGACCAATTGTGGACCGACTGAGATCTACGTTGATAGTATGATTTCTGTTTATATTATATTTGCATGTACCAAATTTTGTGTTGATACTGAAATATTTGAGGGAGTTATTAAAGATAAACTAATTTCCGGGAATATATACCTTTGTATGGGGGCTATGGGAAATTTAGGATCGATTATATTGATTTTCAACATAATTGATCCCTGGGTAAAAAAAATAATGTGTGACAAAATTCATCGAATTATCTTTTGTAGTTTCTGAGAAAACGACTTAAGAATTACGAAAAAACTGTAATTTTTTCGAGGTAGTCTGAAATTTTTACTCATAACTTTTAACGTTTTGAACCGATTTTGCTGATTTTCAATGCCAAACTGCTTAGGACAATAGTAAATATTTTCGGTGAATTTGGTTTATTTCTTTTGCTTAGTTTTAACGTGAGCGTGTTTTAGGCAGACAGACAGACGGTCAGACAGACGGACATAAATAAATCGACTTAGAATTTGATAAGGTCCCGGAATATATATACTTTGTTGGGTCTCAGATGAATAATTCTTAGTGTTACACACGGAATGACAAACTTATATATACCCTCTATCACCACTGATTGTGGTGAAGGGTATAACTAGATGGAGTCATAATCCAAATTTCAAAAACCCACCTATATACATACAGCAAGTTTGTTGGAATTATTCTAGATTGGGATCGTGAGGATTTTGAATCTCTTTGAACAGTTGGTAGCCAAATAAAGTTCAACTAACTTAAAATTAAGATTTTTTTGATATTTAGTCCATATTTAGTTATAGCTCCTATTTAATCATAACTTAAATCAATATTTTTCATTACAACTTTTTAGATTTGAAGAGACCCAAAACAGCTTTAAGAGTACAGTTAATGGTAACTATAAATTTCAACATTCTTTACAAACATTCGTAATTAATAATTCTGAAAAATTTTCACAGATTCATCAATATTTGACATACGCTATGATGAATTTCCAGCCAAATGGTATATACATATTATAAAAATAATTTAAACATATCCCGATCATACTTAATAAAAAAAATATTTTTTTAAAGTAAAACCAATGTTCTACCAAGAAGTTGTGCTGAAGCCACCTCCTGCACTCGGCGTAGTGGCATATATAAAATTCTCCTAACCAAATACAGCAGTGAACCATTTCTGGTCGAGTGTGATGTTAGAACTGAAGGTGGCGGTTGGATTTTAATACAAAGACGTCAAGATGGTTCTGTGGATTTCTATCGTGATTGGAGCGAATATCAAAACGGTTTTGGCAATATCGAAGGAGAATTCTTTATCGGTCTAAACAAGTTGCATGCCCTGACCAACTATAATGGACCACAGGAGTTACTGATCGTTTTGGAAGATAATAATGAAATTAAACAGGCGAAATATAGTAATTTTGTTATCGGCAATGAAAGTGAAATGTACGCTTTGAAGCATTTAGGTGTTTATTCGGGAAATGCTGGCGATTGTTTAATATCGCATTTGGGCATGAAATTTAGCACTAAAGATCGTGATAATGATGAGTATGAATCGAATTGTGCGGTAGTTTATACAGGGGCTTGGTGGTACAAGAAATGTCACGTAAGGTATGTTTATTTTTATTATAGTTTTTAGAGGTTAAATAATTTATGGGTTTATTCATTTCTGCAGCAATCTTAATGGCAAATATGGCGATACAAATTATGCTAAAGGCATTACATGGCAATCATTCCGTGGCTACAATGTCTCTATAAAACATGCTAAAATGATGATTAGAAGGCGACAATTTTAAATTTTTAACATGAAGAAATCATTACTCTACTGATATGCGACTTAATTGTATTATTTAACTAGCTATACCCAGTGTACTTTGCTACCCTAAAAGGAATATGTATAAATAAAAATCCCACTTAACGATTTTGAAGATTCTAACTACAATAGTTTTCCAGATTTATAATATGTTACATATGAGAGATGTCAAGCAAATTAATGCAAGTTCGCCAGTTTCTATCTATCGCCAATTTCTATCTATCTATAAAAAATTTTAATAATATAAGAGTTTCCAATATGCTCGAAATTTTGTATTTAATTCATATATGTTGTGCCAAGCCACCCATTGAAAGTCCGCCCGTTATGCTCTAAATGTTCACATGAATTTCAAAGTTCTTCATGTAAAATTTGAAGATTCTAGCTCTAATAGTTTCTCCGATATACGAATTTTTCTATTTGAGCTTGAAGCCCCCACATGAAAGTCCAAAATGTTCAGATGAATACTAAACTAATTTGTGCAAAATTTTATAAATCAAGTTCTATTAGTTTCTAAGATAAACGAAATTGTATATTTAATGCATATGGGAGGTGCCAAGTTCCCCATTGAAAGTCCGCCCGTTATGTTCTAATTGTTCCCATGAATTTCAAAGTTCTTCATGTAAAATTTGAAGATTCTAGCTCTAATAGTTTCTCAGATATACGAATTTTTCTATTTGATTCATATGGGGGCTTCGAGACCCCCCAGATGAAAATCCGCTTTTTTTTTCTCCAAAATGTTCAGATGAATATTTAAGTTCTTTGTGCAAAATTTGAAGTATTTAGTTCTATTAGTTTTCCAGATAAACGAATTTGTATCTTTAATTAATATGGGAGGTGCCGCTCCCCTCATTTATTACCCAAAATGTTTAGATGGATGTTAAAGTTATTTGTGCAAAATTTGAAGATTCTAACTGTAATAGTTTCCAAGATAAACGTATTTTTGTATTTAATTTATATGGGAGGTGCCACGCCCCCTAATGCTAGTCTGCCTACTTTTTGTTCTAAATAATTATATTGACACTAAAGTTGCTCCGACAAAATTTGAGGACTCTAACTCTTATATTATATAAAACTGTAATAGTTTCCAAGATAAACGTATTTTTGTATTTAATTTATATGGGAGGTGCCACGCCCCCTAATGCTAGTCCGCCTACTTTTTGTTCTAAATAATTATATTGACACTAGAGTTGCTCCGACAAAATTTGAGGACTCTAACTCTTATATTATCTAAAATATACGGATTTAATATTTTCTTAATATGGGCGTGGCTCCTCGCCCACTTGGAATTTCAAAATTTAGCCTATTACCCATTCCAGACATACAGGAATTCGCTGTGAAAATTTTAATAAAATCGGTTCAGCCGTTTAGTAGTCTATATCGTTCAAACATACATACAAACAAACACACAATAATTTTTATATATATAGATTTTATTTTTGGATGGGCCCGGTCCCCTCTTTAAAGTACTTCATGTAAAGTTAGCTTTTCATCTTCAGAGAAATTTCTTAAATAAACTAAAAAGAAACAAGTTAGAGTTTTATATTCGGCCTTGTGTGATATGTAAATTTACAAAATATATTCCTGTCGAGTTTTACTCTGATCCGGATAAAATTTCGTAACACATTAATATATGTGTTTTTGTGACCAATTGTGGACCGATACAGATATAATTTTGTAATAAGATTCCTATTATATTTACATATATACACATACAAATTATTTGTGTATATTTAAGAGAGTGTTTCACGATAAAGTCTTTTCCGGGAATACATACATTTGTACCTTTCTATGAGGGCATGGGAAATTTTGGATCGATTGTTATTATTTTGAAAATAATTGATCCCTGGGCAAAAAAAAAATAATTTGTGACAAAATTCATCGAATTATCTTTTATAGTTTCTGAGAAAACTACTTAAGAATTAACAGATAGTCTGAAATTCTCCGCTAATGGTGGTGGGGGATATAAAAACAAGCTAAAATATTCAAATGCGAATATTTCGTATGGGCGTCTCTCGACCAAATTTTTAGAAGCAACTCAATATAATAATGACAAATTTTAAATCCGGATGAAAAAAAAATAAAATATTTGCCTCTAAATTAATGAAAATCGCTGTATATTGAAATAATAAAAATTGAATTTACAATTAAACATTAAAGGGTTCTATATTTGGCTTTGACAAATCTGATAACCCTTCACCTTATCGTATTAAAATATATTATACCCTCCACCACCATCAGTGTTGATAGATGGTATATATAAGTTTGTCATTCCGTGTGTAACACCAAGAAATATTCATCAGAGACCCAACAAAGTATATATTCCGGGTCCTTATCAAATTCTGAGTCGATCTGTCTGAGTCCGTCTGTCTGTCTGCCTAAAATACGCTCACGTCAAAACTAAGCAAAGGAAATAAACCAAATTCACCAAAAATATTCATTGTTCACAACGTTAAAAGTTATGAGTAAAAATTTCAAACTAACTCGAAAAAAATTACGTTGTTTTCGTAATTTTTAAGTCGTTTTCTCAGAAACTACAAAAAATAATTCGATGAATTTTGTCACACGTTATTTTTTCGTGGTTTTACAGAATCCCTTTCCTATGATAAAATGATGATACGTCGCAGTAGAACTATATAGTTATTTACATATGTATGTTTGTAATATTATGTACATATATAAAGATATACCTAAAGAATTATGCTCCCACATAAGGTCCACATACGAAAATCACTTCAAAGCACATATTATTGATAAATATAGTTATCTGGATAGAAACAACATGAATATGTTTTGTGTATATATGAATTACTCTGTGAAATTGTTTCCGAATCGGGCCATAAAAGGTTCACATATGAAAATATCGAAATCGCTGTAAAATTTTACAAGAATATGTTTTTTGACAAAGATGGACAAACCTATTAACTAATCTAGAAACTAGTCCATTGTCTACAATATGGACTGGTCGATTGCCAATTTTAAAATCTAGACAATAGTCAGACGATATACCAGTATCGTCTGACTATTCTACAAACTGAACTATTGACTAACTATTCTACACACTAACCTATTCCTAGGTCATTAGCTAGTTAATCGACAAATATATAGAGTAATCTATTGACTAATATATGGACTACAATTAAATATGTCGTGAGTATTTTACTGTAGTATTTTACGATGTCAGAAAGTTAAAAGAATGTTCAATGGTAGTGAATTTTCCATGTCTGCTGTCGTAATGTGTTAAAAACAAAAAATTAATTACTATAGTGCAAATAAATAAAAAATTTGAAATTATAGTCGGACATGGCCGACCATATGATACCCTACAGCAGTGATTATGTTATAAAATTTTGATTATTTTTTAACAATTAAGTATTTTGTTGACAAAACAGGAATTTTCTAAAAGAGGCGTTATGTAGGGGCAGGGGGTTAATATAGTCCTATACTTATAAATTTTGATAGATGGTTTTACGCCTACATCAGTTATTTATGCAGAATATCGTCTTGATATTAGTGTTTATAAGTGAATTTTCACCATCAAGTCATTTTCTGAAGGGGACTTAGTATGAGGGATATAGTCAAATGAGGTCCAATTTTTACGAAAATCAGCAATATCATTATATAAAACAAAATTTTGCCGATTTTTGGAGTGATACAAGAACATTTAACATACAAAAACACTATTCGGGGGGTATGGTTGTATGAAAGCTATACGAAATAATGGATCGATTTTAACAATTTTCAATAGAAGAGTACGTGCAAAATTTCATCTAAGTATCTTGAAAATTGCGATCTGTAGAATGCTCACAAGGTTTACATGGATACACAGACTGACAGACAGACGGATGGATGGACGGACATAGCTAAATCGACTCAGAAAGTGGTTCTGAGCCGATTGCTATAACTTAATGTGGGAGTAGGACCAATATTTTTGGGTGTTACAAACATCAGCACAAACGCATAATACCCTCTCCACTATAGTAGTGTAGGGTATAATTAATTTGTGGTATTATGGGCTTGGGAATACCCGTATAGAACCTAAATTTTTTATAGAACGCATTTTTCATATTTATAAAGAGTACATAAATTCTTTATTTGAAATATTTTAACTAAAAATTTTACTTAAAATTCACAAGCTTTCAGCAGCGAACAAAACTTAAAATGTTGAAACAAATTTTTTGTATAATATTTATAATATTTTTAAAATATACAGCTGCTAAAGCTGATAACGAACAGGTAATGAATAAACAAGTTATAAGAACTTTTCAAACTTATTTTTTTTTACAGTGTAACAACATAATAATTGAAGGTGGTGAACAGGCTTTAAGAAAAATATTTAATGATTTTAATGAAATCAAAACAACATTGAATGAATTGAAACTGAAGTAATATTAAAATATTGTAAATAACATAAATAATTAATTATATATACATATATTTTTAGATATGAAATACACCAGGAAAGCAATAATACTGTAAAGAAAGGTAATTTGATTACAATTTTTCTTCAGAAAGGGGTTCAAAATTTTCAATATTTGACTACATTTCTATTTGTTATTCATAGATATGCCAATTTTTGATGGACGTATTGATAAAATGGATGTTAAATGGTAAAAACATATACATACATACGAAACAAATTTATATAAAACACAGTTATAATTTGTTTTTATTATTTCGAAGCCATACTACGAATCTGCCAAAAGATTGCGCCACAGCTACCGCCTGCACCAAACAGAGTGGCATTTACAAAATACAAATCGAACAATTTAGTTCAGAACCATTTTATGTGGCATGTGATAGTGAAACTGAAACCGGTGATTGGTTAGTGATACAGAAACGTCAAGATGGTTCCGAAGATTTCTATAGAGAATGGCAGGATTACGAAAATGGTTTCGGTGACATAGCTGGAGAGTTTTTTATTGGCTTAAAGAAATTACACGCTCTAACGTCCTACAACGGACCTCAAGAATTATTAATTGTTATGAAAGATGCGAATGATACCAAAACTTTCGCTAAATATGATGCATTTGCCATAGGTAATGAAACGGAATCGTATAAATTAAAAAAATTGGGTAATTACTCGGGAACAGCAGGTAATTCTTTGGGTATTCATATAGGCATGAAATTTTCAACTAAAGATCGTGACAATGATGTAAGTGATAGTAATTGTGCCACTGTTAACACTGGCGCTTGGTGGTATATTAATTGTCATCACAGGTTTGCTATAAGATTTAAATTATATATCTCTGTAACTAAATATTGTAAGTTTTTCATTCACAGTAATCTCAATGGCAAATATGGTGTACACTCTAGCAAGGGTGTTATTTGGAAAACGTTTCGAAATTATTCAGAATCTCTTCCTTATGTTAAAATGATGATACGTCGCAGTAGAACTATATAAATAGTTATTTATATTAATATATGTATAAAATGTGTAATGTATGAAATACAAAAGCTTGAAATTTGTTTAAAATATATTTCGTTTTTATCAAGGTATGGATTATATATCCCGATATATGTAATGTGCATATTCATAGGGAATTCAGTACACTATTGTACTTTTATCAGTATTTTCAGTACAAAAAAAAAACCACAGTATGACATATGTACATGTAAAGTAGGGTATATTGATTTTGTGATTCCATTTGTAACACATTGAAATATTGGTCGCATAAAAACCAAAAATTCTAAGACAGTCCGTCTTTAGGTGAGATGAAATCACAATAGTGTCCGAAATATTGGTCGTAGACCCACAAAAGTATGTATATACATATATTCTGGGTCCTTTTTAAATCCATGTCCGCCCGTATTGAAAGCACGTTAGGTTATAAATGAAATGAGCTAGGAGCCTAATATTTTCCAAAAATATTCCTTATAGATAAGGGTTTTTGATAATGGACAATAGCGGACGATGTTTTCGCACATCTTAATATTATAATACTCAAGTCGAATTCTTATTTCACATACATCCATAGACATCTATCCATCCATCCATATACACTTGACACTAACTCATTCCCAACGCTTAGCTCCACGGTCACTCATCTGCGGAGTTAATGTCGAGTGCTTTACTTGAACACCTGCCGTGTTGGAATATTTCACGTGGTCTTTTTCAACCACTGGGTGAGCTTTTGTAACGACTCACCAACGCCCCATTGTACTTCTTACACGCAGGTGGCAATTTACGTTTCGGTCCAGTATACGTACACTTTGCTCAAGTACTTGAGGTATCTAATCTCTGACTATTGCTGCCTCGATGCTTAACTTCCGATATGCAAAAACATCACTTCCGCTTACAACCACAACCAGATGGGATGATTTCTGTTGAGTCGGCAATAGCACGTAGAGACGTAAGTACGAATCCATTAAATAAGCCGAGACTTTGTTCTTACTCACAGTGACAGACTGTGGTAAATCTGGTATGAACAGAGTTTACTCTGAACATACCTGGGCAAGGTATTACTTGTATAAGATACCTTTCATCTATCACCATTCAACCCAGCACACTTCTCATTTATCCGACACGTTCATAAGAGAGAACATACGAGCGTATGAGTTCCGTATAGCCCTATATTCATCCTGTATCATATACAATTAACACCAACTCATTTCCAATGCTTACTCCCATAGTCACTCCTCTGTTGGGTATCTATTGTCTTTCGGCAATAGCACCGAACTTATCCCGAAATATAGATTTCACCGTGCATCAGTCTTTTAACCGCAACTTACTCTTCCCGCGAATTTGGGCTTAAAATACGGCCACAACGTGGATCCCGAAGGAACCTTAACCAACTGACCAGACAGGACAAGTCCTGCGGCAACTGGCCACCCATAGTACCAGATTATGTGGTTCTCTGGTTAGACCCCATGTCAAATCATATAAGGACTAGCCGAGGAGTGAAATGTCATCACTAGTTTATAGTCGAGACAGACTAAAGGTACTGGTAGCTTCTCTTTACCCCGGCATTGCAATACACCAAGATGATGGTCTTTCATAAAGGAAACAAACCCCGGGGGAAGTCTTCCGAAGGGATTGCACGAAACAAGACAAAATCCGAAACTCTGATCTGTGGGCTAACGGTGGTACCAAATTATATGGCTCTCTGGTTCGACCACAGCTCAAAAAAGTTCCAAGGAAAGGCCGAGTCGGTTTATAATCCCTTTTAGCACCTCTTCATCAAGGTAATATGCCCCGGGGGATAGTATTATATAACGATTCGACAAAAAAATGTAATTTAAACACTGATCTCTCTCCGTCTATAATCCAAAATTTGCATTAAAGGCCGTATTCCGAAAGATATCCTAATGTGTACATACAGCATAAATCTAATATATATTTACATATGTACACATGAGTAAATCGTGGTAGTATACAAAATTTTTGTTTTCTATAGAATACTAAATAGATTTATCCATAAACTATAGAATAGTTCAGACTAATGGATATATTAGTTATATCGTGTTAATTAAGCTCTTGGGAACAATCAAGTAGAGTCACAGGGACTACGTTTTGACAAATATATATGTTATATAAGTAAATATGTATATGACTATATCAATAGATTAGTCCACTATCCCACAGATAGATATTTAGAGATCTTAAGCATATCACAAAAGGTCAAATGGGCGTCAATGCAAATAGCTCTTCATATTATCACCATTATCACTGTAAAATGCTAATTACTACACTGCAATTTAATGATAAGTATGTATATATGTATATTCGCGTTGTGTGGTATTATGGGATCGCTCGATATCTGTAAAACCCATACGGACTTTTACATTATTATCGATAAAACTTTAGTAAATAGTGCAATTATATAATTCACCTTATAAATATCCAACCATTTACTAAAATATTTTTAGTTTTTATTAAAAATTCAACGTCTTCACAACTACAAGACTAATTCGAAATGTTGAAATTAAAAAAGTGTTGGTATATTTTTGTTATAATATTAATATATAGAATTTCAATTGTCAAATCTGATACCGAAGAGGTATTTGTGTTAAAATTCTATCATAAATATTGTTAAGAACATTTTAAATCTTTTATTTCGCAGTTCAAAAATATCACCACTGAAGATAGTGAACAAGCTGTTAAGGCGTTATACAAGGATTTTAAGGAATTGAAAAGTTTAGTGCAGGCATTGAAAACGAAGTAATATTTATTGAAATTCAATTAATTTAAAATAATTTAATAAATTTTTTATAAATCTTTTAGTAATAAAGTACAACGGGACAACGATAATGTAACAAAGAAAGGTAAAGGTTTTTATATGGGTTTAATATAAAATGGATTCGTTCCTTAAATGTACTTCTTTTTTCTCTTCATAGATTTGCCACTTTTTGATGAACGTTTTGATAAAATGGACGATATATGGTAAGAAAGTCGCCGAAATATACTTCAAAACTCACATTTAAATTAATTTTACTTCAAAGCAATACCACCGATCTACCAAAAGATTGTGCCACCGCTACCGCCTGCAGCGGACGTAGTGGTATATACAAAATTAAAATCGAACAATACAGTAGTGAACCATTTTATGTAGCATGCGATAGTGAGACCGAAACGGGAGATTGGTTGATAATACAAAAACGACAAGATGGTTCCGAGGAGTTCCATAGAGATTGGAAAGAATATGAAAAAGGTTTCGGTATCATTGATGGAGAGTTTTTTATTGGCCTAAAAAAATTACATGCTCTAACAACTTACAATGGACCACAAGAGTTATTGATAGTAATGGAAGATGGTAATGGCACTAAAACATTTGCCAAATATGATGCATTTGCTATAGGTAATAAAACGGAATCGTATAAATTGAAAAGATTAGGCAGATATTCGGGAACAGCGGGAAATTCACTGCATTATCATATTGGCATGAAATTCTCAACAAAAGATCGTGACAATGATGAATATGTTCGCAGTTGTGCTGTTGAATTTAAGGGGGCTTGGTGGTATAAAAATTGTCATCATAGGTGTGTATTTTTATATTTATCGTTATGGGAATCGGTTTCGAAAACGACAAATGCAATTAAATGTTATCGTTTTTCTAGAACTCCATCTAGAATTTGATTATTTGTCAAACAAAATATCGATAACATTAGAGATGATCAGACCAATGTATTATTTTGTTGTTTCCCAAACCAATTCCGACATTGATGGACTCTATGACAATCCCAACTTTTAATGTTTTTCGTCTATAGTAATCTTAATGGAAAATATGGTGAAAATACTATTGGCAGTGGCATTAATTGGAAAGCATTTCGTGGTATTCATGAGTCTCTTCCATATGTTAAAATGATGATACGTCGCAGTAGAACCATATAGTTATTCATTTTGATGTCTATGTCTGTTTGTATTGCAGTCCTAAGTACCTATAATTTAGACCATAAATATATTTTAATTAGATTTAAAAAATATTTTTTAATTTAATAAAATTTTCTAATGTTTAGACTCATTCATCGAAAGAAGTTGGAGTGTATTGATTGAAATATTGGTCGCAAATATTATTAGTATTAGATTTTAAGACGATCTAACCATTTATGATTAGCTATGGGGTCTTTGAGAAGCTGGAAAACGGAAAATTATCTCAAATAATCTCAGTCGATATGTTAGAAAGGAAGTATAACGAGATGTTTTGTTTAATTTAGGATTTTAGGATACGTGATGTAATATCGATCCATGATTGCATCTAGCTCGCTTATAGTATATGAAGCACCAAATAATTATACTGTGAAGTATTGCGAACATCGAACCATATTTGACCCTAGCACCTACATTTCCATAATTTTTGCGCGATTTATTGACAATATACTGATTCTGTTAGAGGGGTTAAATGGGGGCTAGGGATCTTATATGAGGGTCAATTATGAACTGATACTGGTAGGGAGATTTCAGTTCCTATAAAACTAGTTTGTGTTGAATTTCACCTCTAGACATGTACTTTTAAGTCAAATATCTCAACCAAATATACTTCTAGTACTTTTATTTTAAACCTCCTTTTAAAATAATGTTACTGTAATCGCTCCATACGTTTTATCAGCAAATATTTGTGGTTTCCTAAAATATTTCGTAGTGTTAATAAACATGAATTTATAAAAAAAGTTTCATAAAGTTTCATTAGTTTTTGTAAATAACTATAAATCCAGCATTTATTTTAAACATGGTATTAGTCCACTTTAAAGTAAATGGTTCCAGTAAGAAGTCAATAATCAAAATCGAGCTTAATGCTATATAACAGAAAAGAGGTAAACAAAATAAAATAAGAACACCCTAATAACTAAATCGGTCTGAGGGAGTAATTTTTTATTGAAAATTCGTAAATAACTGTACTTTTTTAAAGGGATACTAGTATACATTTTTATGTATAATTCTTAGGAATCACGTCCAGGAAACTGAGTTTCTGAACATCGGACGATAATACATTCAGTGAATACTA